AAGAAAAATAAAACAAGATTTATGGCTTGGGAATGTACCTGCAATCTCCTTTTTTTATATTATTATTTGAAATACATCAAAATACTTTTCTGGGCAATCATAATAATCTGATAATCCCCACTATACACACTTTTCTGCCAATTCAAACCACAGAAACAGTCACCTCAGCAAGATTATTTCTCAGTTCTATTTTATCGAAACCCATTTGTCACTGAAAACAATTCAGTATTTTATTTTCTTTCAATGGGGTATGTACTACCCTTTTTCCCCCATGGGATTATCTAATCAATGGAGTATTCTGTGCACTACTTAATTAGACACAAAAAGATATCCACCCATATAATCACATGCACACACTCAGCCATGAATAGTCTTTTGCATGTTCACCTGAATATGGGATAGTTCCTGGCTGAATACTTCAATACCTAATAACCAAAGTTAGGACCAAATTTCCTTCTTCTCACCAAAGTGCTTCCTCTACCTGCTCAGTGACATAACATCCTTCACTTTGTAACTGGGCATGTGATTTGAAATGCAAACATTTGTGATGGTTATAACAATGGCTTACATTTACAACAGGTAGTACACAACTGTGAGAATGGTTCCTGAGAACATATTTTGAAAGGTGAAGGGAAAATGGAGAATAAGGGACTGAGTTTCTGAAGTGAGAGAGAAAAGGGTGTCTAAATGGTGGAAATTGGTGGTACATAAAATAACAAACATTTCCTGCACTAAATAGAGGCTGGGCACATTAAAAAAAAAAAAAAGCAGGCAATGGGGGGATAAGGACATATATGTAATACCTTAATCAATAAAGAAAACAATTAAAAATAAATAAATAAATAATACAAAATACTTTCAAAACTACAAAAAAAAACCAAAATAAAACAAAACAAAGCAATTGCTTTATCATTTTGAAGAGTTAACGCTTATGCATAGGAAGTGATAGAAGATAGATGAAGATTTAAACAGTAGCAATGTAAGTAGAGGATGTACCAATTTGCTCTTGGAATATGTTATAGTAAAAAACAATCCACAATACAGAAGATAATAAACATAATCTAAAAATACCTAAAATACTGCAGTACTAGAGTAACTATATTGAATATCAGACTTTTAGATATTTAAATAATTTGGTATGATTTTGTCTTATACATCCAACTTTGTTTTTTAAAAAAGAAATGAATGCCTAAAATGTTAAGTACTTTTACCTAACACCCCATACATAGCTAACCAGTTGATTCATTCTCAGTACCCAATGATAGGACTATTTCCTTATTTCAATAAAAATACAATGCAAACATAAATTTTTAAAAACATTCTTGAAAATAACCTGATACATACCACTGTGTTTGCTTGGTCATAGGTACTTTGAATTTTCCCGTTTACTTTGTTTATACCTGACAAAAACAAGGAAAAAATGACATTATTTTCATTTCTTCTGGTTTCTATGTCAATTCTTACTAATCACTATGAAAACAACTATAACTTCTGCTCTCTCCAACTTCAGCATATTATTTTATTTACTATAATTTAAAACACTGATTTCCAATGAAGTTTTTGAATGAAAGGTTAACAGGAAGAAAGTCCAGGGCCCCGTAAAGTCTTCTTACATTCACTTCTGATAGCTTTCCATCTGAATATGTGCACATATTATTAGTCTTGGCTAAACTGGTGTTCATAGGTCAAGGATTGATTTAAAATACTATAACGATCAATGAACTGTTATCAATGTCAGCATCAAATATTAGTATCATTTAAAAAACACACACTCATTATAAAAAATAGATTCTGAAATATCAATACCCAACAAGTTCTGTTTATTTTTGTGTTTTCTCAAATACTAGAAGATGGGAATTAACTGGTCTCATATTATACAGTTAATACATAATTAGAAATTTGAACATTAGGGGGAAAAGAAAAATATTACAGAAAGCTAAGATAATTCAGGTACTTACTTCCAATAATAGTCTTGTGATTGAAAATCTTACTCCATATTCCACCTTCTACATTGTCTTTCACTCCGAATTCATAAACCGTGTTGGGCTTTAGATTTTCTACAATTGTTTCAGTGGCTGGACAGAGTTGAAAAATCCATTTCTTTTCCTTATCCTTTTCTCTATAGCGAATTGTATAAAATCTGTTGAAAACCCAAAATATGATGCTTTGAAATCACAAGGAGATTCAGAATGTTTTGTTTCTTAATACATCACAGCCTGTTATCTACTCCAAAGGCTATATTTAATAATAGCTTCTGTTTCAATTTTTGAAAAATTTGTAGAAAACATTAAAAAATACCTTAATGTAATCTTAAGTTTTTAATTTCTAATTGAAAGTTAAGAGACTGTGCAGCAGCACATTTATGGTCTGACAGAATTCAGATTTCTTAGTTCTGTTATTGCTATTTTGAAAAATTAACACTGGATGTTCACTTTATTCCAGTTATGCATAGAGTAGAACATGGTGTAATTTTCTGAATGCTTAATTCAGTAGTTTCATAACTGTAGGGATTCAAGTCTTTCACCCATGAAAATTGCATTAGAGGTAATTTTATTCAATTTTGTTAAAGAGAAACCTGAAACTACAAAATGCAACCAGGGCTACATTTCAAGGGTGAAAATTTCTTATGATTATAAACAAAGAATTAAGACCAACAGCCAAGCTAAGGGTACAATGAGAAAAATCAAACAATGTAAATTCAAGATCACTGTTACATATTAGCTTATGGCTTCATATTTTAGTCATTATATATAGTGAAGTAATAATAATCCCCACCACTAATTTTTGCACCTTTATCACATGCTAGATTTTCCATATATTATCTCATTTACTTGTCACAAAAATATCTCAAGGAGTAGAAATTATTGACCCCATTTTGCAAATGTGGAAATGGAGTTTTGGAAAGTCACTGAACTTGCCAATTGTCACCCAGGTAGTGACTTTTCCTAGTGGCAAAGGCAGCACCAGAATATACAGAAGGACTCCTCTGGCTCTGCTTTCTACAGCCTCACCGAGTAGGGCAGCAGATCAGGAGAGAGGATGTCCTCTGCTTCGGTCAGCTTCCTACCCTTGTCACATTGGTTTACTTAATAAGTGTGTAATATAGGCAAGTTCTAAATTCTAAAAGAGATAGTTCACAAAACTACTTATTTAAAGAAGTTTCCTTATTTTTAAAGCAAAATATAGGACTGTGATAATAAACAGTGCTGTACAGCCTAGCACACTACAGATACTCCATAAATATTTCTGGAATGACTAGAATGGATACTTAGGTGTTCATAGGGTCATTTTAAAGTCATATATAATAAAAGCCTAATATGCTAAGTGTCCGGTCGCCCAGTTGTCCATTCAACCAATTAAAGCTTAATATGCTAATGATATGCTAAGGCCACTGTGAGGTCCCTTGGCTTGGCCTGCACCCTCTCACAATCCAGGACCCCTCAGGGGATGTCAGAGAGTTGGTTTCCTCCTGATCCCAAAGGCCAGGCCTAGGGACCCCACTGGGGCACAAATTTGTGCACCGGGCCTCTAGTTAGAATAGAATTGCTCTGAATGGCCAATGATTCAATCACCAAGATATATTGGTTTATTCCTTTTTCTTTTTATTGAATTTATTGGGGTGACCTTGCTTAAACAATTAGGTCTATAATTATATTTTTCAATGGTCACTGCAGAAGGTTTTACTTACCAAAATTCACAAATCCCATAAAATCAGTGAGAACTGAAGGAAAATACAATAAATGTCTACATTGTACATGTGCAGGAGGCTTAAGACTTTTATTTATTTTGGTTTATCCATACAATAAACTCTGAAATGAGCAGAGCAAGAATTACTATAGAAGGAAAGGAGAGGCTGAGAAGTGTCTAATGTCTGATAACCAGTGAGAGAGCCAGGCAAAAGGTTAATACCTTTTGTATTGCATTGGACTATCTTTGTACTGTGATGCTTGGCAAAAGGAGATGGTAAAAGACAGGTAAAATGATGCAGAAGAGAAGAGTAAGAGGAGTCACAATTCCTTTTAGCATTATTAAGGCTTTTGATCATTTGTTTTATTGTGTATTTACATCACAGACTTCCCATTATTGCTGGAGGACACCCACGATTAAATGTTGATTGCATCTTTTCTGTGGATGATTAACACGTTAAGCGCCATGTCCATCACTGGTGACTGACACTATACTTTCAGGAAAGGAAGACAAAACAGGCTTGGCACTTGACGTGTTAAATTTAGGCACCAGTGCATGGAGGGGCAACAAGTCTATTAAACAGGTAGCAGCCCGTGGATGTCATCAGAGAAGAGCTCTGGAAAGCCTTCCTCTAGCAATTTGGATTTTAAGAACACATCTCATACCTCAACTAAGTATAAAACTGTTGAAGGCAGTGTTTGGTTCAGCGGGCATTATTCTGTGCTTTGATGTCCTCGATAGTCTCAATATTGACAAGAATTGTTATTATAGCTTAAAGAAATCCATAGCCCCTCAAAATGTAGTGGAGAAGGCAGGTAGTGGCTTGGATATTTGTCAGCTGCAAATTAGTAGCGTGACCTCGGGAGAGTCTCTTTGCCCACTTATGCATAGATTTTTTTTTTCCATTGAAAAAGAAGGGAATTGGACTAGACTAGATGATCTTTGAGATTGTTTCTGTTACTAAAAATTTATTCTAGTTACATATTAAACATTCTAGTGCAGTGGTTCTCAACCCTCTGGCCCTTTAAATACAGTTCCTCATGTTGTGACCCAACCATAAAATTATTTTCGTTGCTACTTCATAACTGTAATGTTGCTACTGTTATGAATCATAATGTAAATATCTGATATGCAGGATGGTCTTAGGCGACCCCTGTGAAAGGGTCGTTCGACCGCCAAAGGAGTCGCGACCCACAGGTTGAGAACCGCTGTTCTAGTCTAATAAAATACAAAGGCAGAACATAGGGTAAAACCTCAGAGGTAGAAACTCCAAAAACAAAATTTGTGATGTAGCTGACAGTGAATTATACTAAGTGGAGAAATGGAAGAATGTCAAAATGAAGTTAGTCTTTCACAAACTCCCTGGCTTGGTGCACATGGCAGGTCATCTATAGGCTTTACATACCTTTTCAGCAATATTTTCTTTTTTAAAAATTTTTGTCTTTGTTGTTGAAACTATTACAGATGTCCCTCTTTTTATTTTTTCCCAGTGACCCACTCTACCTCACACCCACCTCTCCCAACCCATCCCCACACTATTGATTGTGTCCATGGGCTATGCATGTATGCATATAAGTTCCCCGGTTAATCCCTCCCAGCAATGTTTTTATTTCTATGTGATTAACTACTACTAGATTTCCTAAAACATCTATTCCACACATTTTTTCGCTCTCTTCACATCCAAGTACACTTCCTGTAACCCCCTTTATCATTGTTCTTGTGTCCTGCCACACCAAGACTGTGACTACTGATATAAATTCTGTCCTCACTCCCTTCCTCAGAAAGTGTCTCTCTCCCCCTTCACTCTCTCCCTGTCCCTCTCTGATTCCAGGGTTCTCCCTTCTTCTGAAAATTAAGCAACTTGGTAATTTTATTTCATGTCCTAATTCAATCTGCTCCCCAACCATTCTCTTGATCTTTCAAGGACCTTTCTTTGAGTCTAAATGATGTTTAAATATTTCTATTTTATCAAAACAAAGTAAAACTGATGCTTACTTCTTACTCCTGCTACTGTCTTTTACACAAATTTCTTGAAAGTAATATACTTTCTCTCACCTTCTTAACATTCATAATGCCTAAACCTCTTTGGTTTTTGTTTTGTTTGGCTTAAACATGTTTATTTTTTATTGAATTTATTGGGGTGACATTGGTTAATAAAATATGTTTATATATGTTTCAGGTGTATAATTCAGTAATGCATCTGTATATTGTATCGTGTTCACCACCCCTGTAATCCTCTTTACAATGTGGTGTCTGACTTGTTAGTATAGTAAAACCTTAGGATCAAATCCAATGACTTACTCCTCCATGAATTTCATAACTACTTTAAAATCTACCCATCTTCTTTTTCAAACCTTTCAGGCTTCTTCTCCCCTCATGTCCAATCAGTTCTCAAGGCCAGTTACTTTTCCTGCATGATTCCTCTTGCACCTGTCCCTTCTCTATTCCTAAGGAGTTTAAGGACCCGGGTTAGGTCCTCATTATCTTTGAACTTTTGCAATAATTTTCAAACTGGTCAACCATTTCCAAAAATCTCTTTTCCTTATTACCTCCTACTGGCTGGCTTAAGCTCAACACAATAAGTTCCTAGTAATTTTAGTGCTATCTAAAATGAAATAGCTTATCTGAAGTGATAATTATAACAGTGTGTTGTGAATAATTATAACATAAGGCAATAATATAAAAAGCATCAAGACTAGCAGAACATGGTAAGCACCATTTATTGAGTGCTCACTGCATGTCAGACACTATGGCAACATAGCCACATTTTATGGTGTCATTTCACCATATGAGATATACTGACAACCCTATGAGATATTACTATTATTACTCCAATCTACACTAATAAAAGAGAAAAATGGTAATTGGTATACGACGCTACCCTTTTCATTGGCTAATCAGGGTGATATGCAAATTAACTGCCAACTCAGATGGCAGTTAACTGACAACAAAGATGGCGGTTAATCTGCATATGTAGGCACAATGCAGGGAGGTGAAAGGGAAAGCAGGAAGAAGCCTCCTGCCACTGACAGTGATCGGAAACCCGGGGGGAGCTAAGAGCTGGGGGGCAGGGCAAAGGCGGCCCTGGTCAGTGATAGCAGGAGGTAGTGGTGGAGCCAGCAATGGGAGCTGGGCATGGTTGAAGCTGGCAGTCCCGGGAGCTAGGGGTCCCTTGCCTGGGCCTAAAGCGAAGCCCACGATCGCAGGGCCGCTGCAGCTGCGGGTCCCTGCTGCCCGGGCCAGACGCCTAGGACAGAGGCGTTAGGCCTGGGCAGGGGCGGAGCCTGCAACCGCGGGGAGCTGGGGGTCCCCTGCCCAGGCATGACACCTCTGCCGGAGGCCTCAGGCCTGGTCAAGGGGCCGATCCGGTGATTGGTGATTGGAGGGTGATGAGGGTCAACTCCTCTGGCCGAGGCATCAGGCCTGGGTGGGGGGCGGAGCCGGGGATTGGGG